GTCCCAGCTGTGAACGATACCGTACTCCAGCAGCTACAGGAGCACGAGTCTCTGTAGATGTAGGACCTTAAGGTGCCGACACAGCGGTGGATCATCGTCTCCATTCTGATCAAAAGAGCAAATCCTTTACACTGGATTTACTCACTCACAGCGCAGTGGTTAGTGTTACATTTATGACTCTGATAATATGTCAAGGTCAGTGGCATCCCTCATACAGACGATTCTGCAGTTATCTAAATATCAGGCACTGGTGTTACCTACCTACATCTCTGCTCCTACAAATGCAGTCCAAAGTTCAAGTTTGTAATTTCAAACGTAAAAATACAGATTTAATGAAATGTTGTTTCTTCAGGCCGAGTATAAGAACTGACAAAATGTCAAAAAAGCATCAAGGCAAAAAAACCTGAGTGCAATAAAAGACTGTGTGAAGAGAAAGAGACATTTGAAAGAGCATGTTTGTTCAAATAAAGTGCACATAGCAGTGTAAAAAAATAAAACAAGTTATTTAACTATTATATTATTTATTTGAACTGAAAAGTATCTCAATGTGCTAGAAAGCATCTCTTCTTGTTACTTTAGTTTTTCTACATGGTCCCTGATAACTACATGTCCTCAAAAAATATATTATTTTCAGTTTTCACCATTTTACTGACAACTGTCATTAACCAGTGTGTGTGTGTGTCTTTTTAAACACACACAGTATCATGAGTATTATCATTCAGCAGTGTTAAGAGTCATAAACTGACAGAAGATTGTCAATTCAGAGTTCAGCAGTGGAATTTTTTTCTGTCTCTGGATGACAAAGATCTGTAAACCAAGTCCCAGAATGTTTGGACTCCATCTGAATCACAGAGGTCAGAATGACACACTTGTTTGCAGCCTTAAGTGCAATTTATACTTCTGCGTCAAATCGCCTACGCCGTAGCCTGATGTGCACCTCCTCAAAAATGTAACTACACATCGAGGTGACGCGGACCACGAGAACTGCGATTGGACGGCTGGGTAGCCTTGCAATGCCTCTGAGCCGACCGCAAGTGCCCCATGCTTTGAAGTTAAAAAAAAAAAAAATTGTGGCAGACCCGTCCCACCCTGGACACACACTGTTTCAGTCTCTCCCCCCTGTCAGGAGGCTGCAGTCCATCAGGACCAAAACCTCACGCCACCAGTTTCTTCCCATCTGCGGCTGGCCTCATCAACAAGACCAGACACCTCCACTGACAGTGACTCTCATGCTTATTCCATATTTTTACTTGTACTTATACTACTACCTGTTTCTGACAAATTGTCTTGTTAACTCAGCATAAAAAAAATAAAACACACTTCTTCACACATTCAAACTAGACAGAAACAAAACAAAATTGAACAAAACTATTTCTAATAGTCACCAGCTCAGGTTTGGTCAAACTCTCCGCCGTTGCTGGCCTCTTTGTGCTGGGGTAGCTCGCAAAACAGACGCCCACGCCTTCTTCATAGAAACATGGCTACACTATAACTCCTGATCTGATGTTACAATGAACAGGACCAGACATTAACTGATAAGTCGTCTGTACATATAATGTAATAGCCCCAAAACATCGGATTTAGAATCACAGAGGAAGGGCTTTCTATGGAGCCGCCATTTTGAAACCAGTTTCTGCAAAGACAACAGCCTCAGTCACCCACAGTTCACTGCAGCCACGCATCACATCACCATCTGTAGTCCATGATGGACAGCAGGCACAATCACATCCACGGTGGGCTGGTTGGACAGTTCAACAACCAGTGAGACACAGACCTAAACACTCTACGTTCACCAGTCTGTTTGTCAAAGCGTCTTCTGGGACATGTAGGAAAATCACTGCTTTATGATGTACACAACATATTGATACAAGTGAAATAGAAGGGAAAAAAACTGAATTAATGCTCAATGGGGAGAGCAGTTCATCCACAGAGAACAGACCAATCAGACAGATCAATTTAAAAATCTAAATATAACAATATTTGCCGGAGGACACCAATTGATCACAATCACTAATGCAAACAAAAAGAGCCACTTATATAAGACCAGCTGTTCAATATCTAACTTTAAAACTTGATGCACAAGAGCTCGTCCATCTGATGATCGTCAAAGTAACATCAGCCAAGTGCTTCACCTGCAATTTTAATAATCAATTAATCTAGCAGTTTACCTAAAAGCCAACACTTTACAGTTCTTTCAGTAAAACCACCTGGAGCATCACAGGTAACAGAGGAGAGAGTGTCACCTGAGCCGTCTGCAGGAAAGAGTCAGACTGACTGTAATTAAATCAAAGTGAAATTAAATCTATTCTTCTTGTTGCTGCTGAAGGAGTCTGAACCTCCTGCAGGACATTAAGAGGACAGCCACACTGAGTCAGCACCCGTCGCTTCCTGTGGCCATCAGGACCTCAGCTTCAGAAACAAATAGAGCACTCATCTGCCTGAATGACTGTATGTCCAGTTAATAATTTCTCAATTAAATGATTAATCGCTTGTCTATAAAATGTCAGAAAGAAGTGAAAATATGCATCATAGTTAAATCAGAGCCCAAAGAAGTTTACAGTGATATAAAACAGAGAAAAGCAGCAAATCCTTCCATTTGAGAGGCTTGAATTAGAAAAATGACTTTAACAACTAACCGATTACCAAAATAATTGGCAAGTATTTTTTGGACAATCAATTAAACCACTTATTTCACCTCTCGCTGTAATGGGTGTGGGCCACCTTGCCTAAATTGAAGACCACCTCTGCTAACTTCCTAAAAAATAAATGTACTTTTTATTAAACATTACAATGTTATTCTTCAAGGAAAAGGTGCCATTTCTCACAATGAATGCTGGAAAATTTCATGGGGAAAACCCTGAACAGTAGTTCTTAGATTTTAATATATTATCCTGAGAAGACACCCACAGACTCCCACACATCATTTATCCCAACTATCAAAATCCATCTCTAATGTTTTACCTGACAAAGGCCTGAGGACCGAAAATGTGTTAATCAAGTGAGAGTTTTTGATCCAGTGCATCTGTCAATAAGATTATGTGGTGTGCACAAACTTTGTCATACTTAAATATCGCTCTAGAAGGTTTATGAAATTAGGTTATGTGTCAACACCCATATTGATTAGGTACATCAGAGCAGTGCAGCACTAATTATCTGCTTTCTCACTTGAATTCAAATGAATACAAACACGTTTTTGGAAGCAAATGACAGATCTGTGGACTCACAGGTGGTGGAATATGATAAATTCATTGCTGACAACAAGCTAGCTATTTTTCCAGTAAACAACATAGTCACTGTGCCATTGCTCACCTCATAATCACCTAGAAGTCTTCATCTATAAACGGACATTAAAGTTTTCCTTTGCTACTGATTTTCTTTGCAAAGAGCCTCCTCTGTTTGGTGAATTTACCAGCAGAGGAAAACAGAAGGAGCAATGCCCTCGTTTGGAGGTCACAAGCTGAGGAGGAGTCACCATGAGCCAAGATGCGGGATCCCCCCTCCTTCCTAACGCAATAAGGCAGGACACACCCAGATAGGGGGGGTGGATGAAATAAGAGGAGAGGAGGAAAAGGGAGCAGAGCTGCTACTGGTGTTCATCCGCGCATCTTAGCAGATGACGTCAGGAAGGTTCTTCGCGAGCTTGAACGCCCGTTAATTAAAATAAAACGGTCTCGGTAACGATTTCTTCCCACCTTCGCTCACTGTCGCCCGTCATAATGACAGCGTGAAAAGCACAAGTATGCCTACTATGTTCAATGTGAGTGCTAAATGTGGGCAAACCACCCCAACAAACTGAACCTTCGCATCATCACAGCAGTGCGAGGACACATTTTAATACCAAAATCGAGCAACAAACGCAGCAACCAGTGTTCCCTTCAAAGAGCCCTGTTTTTTTTAGATCAAGTTACAAGAGACCATTTTAATCTACTGATGACAAAGAGTACTTTTGGTTACCAAGGTAAATATAACTCGGAAAAAACAAAACATTGCAGACAGAGATGAGCAAACTGTTACCAGACACTCGGAGACATCCGCAGGCGGTCTGATTGCTGCCTGCAGCCACTGCAACAGTCGACAACGTTACCTGCAGTTCTGTCGCCCGGGGAGACCCGTCACAAAAGCGCCATTCACTATCCGACTATTTAAAATTACATTTCTTTGTTACATGGACGTGAATATTTGGTATATCTTTAAAAAAGCATATTCGAAATAACGGGAAACAGCTCTTCAATTCGGCGTGCATCCACTACATATACACACAGCTTATTTTACTAAAATTATAACTTTAACAACTGACACGCACTCCTGGGTGGAAAATAAACAGCAGTGTGGTAGAAACTGGCGAGCACTACGTACCAAGTCTAAAAGTTGATATTTTATCAACATTAAGTGCTATTCGATCTATTGTCGGTGTCTTCATTTCTAAACGTTGGTACACTGCTACTTTGTGTATATTAACATGCGTTTTGATTAGTCGGAAGGCGATGTAAGTTGGCGTTTAACCTCCACATTTTTGAATGGGAGACTTGGCAGCGTTGACTGCAGACTAGAGGAAGGCACGTATCGGGGCTGCAACCTAGCTAACTGTCGGGACGTTTGACGGACAAGAAACGGACACAAAACGTTCCTCGTGAGTTTGCAAGACACTAATGACATTAATCTGGCGGAAAATACAATAAAACTGAGGTTATAATGGCCCTGAACGGGATAGTTGTACGCTCACACCTGTGGAAAATCCCAAACATCGCCCATAGTTGCTAATAAGTGGGTGTCAAGGTAAAAGAAACAGCGGTTGTGAACGTTACCCGGATGCTAAGCAGTGCGGACAACTGGGGACGCCACAGACTCATAAAAACACGTTAAAACTTAAATTCACTTTAACGGGCACCGGCAGACACACGACGCTATGTATGTTTCTTGCCATTCAGCCACAAGTGAATTGAAAGAAATCGGACTTGTGGCGAATAAAGTTTGTAAAAACACAAGCGAATAGACGTTACCTCCACTCGGGGAATGTGTGGGGAGGGAGATCCTCGTCCAAAAATCAAGTCCTGTGTTTGTGAGTGCAGAGCAGCGTCTTCAGTTTAGAGGGGCTTGTCCATTTCTCAGCAAGGCTCCAACTTGACAACTGCAGTGGTGGAAAAATGACTGACACACCGGGTGGTGGAAATATCTTCAACGTCCCTTTGTTCCGCGGTTTAAACCAGTTTCTTTGACATTTAATTACATTCGCGGGGGCATCAGCTCTGGTCCAGCAGCGGCAGCCCCGGTGGAAGGAGAACAAACCAGATCCAGAATCAAGTCAGAAATCAATCCGTTTAAGGGAAGAAACAAACACCCCTCCTTTCTTTCTCCTGAAATAAAAGCAGAGGAGGTAAAGGCTCTGGTAGCAAAGAGCAGATCCAGTAAATGAGGACTGGTGGTGTGTTTGTGTTGGAGAGCGGTGGGTGGGACTGCGGGGAGGGGAGGGGGGTCCGACACATTCAAACAGGACCGGAGAAAAGACCCAACGTCCGGATCAGCGTCTTTTCCTGGGTAGCAGGGGAGCTGAGAGAGAGGGAGGTGAACTGGTGCTGGAGACCGCGAGGGAGGGAGGGACCAGCCCGGGATTGCCCTGTTTTTAAGGTGGATCCATGAATTAACTAGGTAATCGGGGGAGAAGCCTGCTATCGAGAACATCAGCCCCGGGGTGAAGATCCATGCGGAAGCCCACGAAACTCCAGATAATCATCCACATCTGGATCTATTCTGGAGCGATGTATGGAGGCCCGTTCCAGCCCATGGCAGAGAATTAAATAATGAGATGCTATCTCTATATTTATTATTTAAAATATCTTCTAGTTATTCTTCCATGATACAGTATATTAAAAAAAGATTTCGAGGATAAGGTCGAATTGCATTGAGGGAAAAGTCGTAATATTTGAAGAATGAGGCTGTAGGCGAATATGGCATGAATAAAGTCGTAATATTTCAAGATTCATAATCATAATATTTAAAGAATAAAGTTGTCATGTTTCAAGACAAAAGTCATTTTAAGGAAAAGGTCATAGCAATTAGAGAAAAAAGTGATACTGCTTCTAGATTAAGTTGACGTATAAAAAGACAACTTTTTAATCAAACTTTGTAATGTTCTAAAACACAATCTAAGACAGTATTATGAGGGAGGATTGCCACTGTCACAGGGAAAAACAGACTTCCAGAATAAAGACTTAATACTCCAAGATGTGAAGAAAGTTGTCATATTTTTGGAAAAAGGTTATAATATTTTGAGGGCTTTTACAAAAAGTTGTAATCTTTTGAGATAAAAGTTGTAATATTTAGGGAGTAGGCCTACTGGGCTGTGTAGGGAACTTTTGTAAAGCCCATTTAGACGTTGACAGTAAATTTTATTTGATGTTATACCTCAAAGTGTACTTTAGACTTTAAAAGTATGGAGGCCCATTCGTGCCAAAAAAATAAATGTAACATGAATAATGAAATACCAACCAAGTCCAGTTGCCATTTGATTTGAATCTTCCTTGGATATGAATAAGTTTCACATACTTTTTACACAGTAAATTAAAACTATGTGATAGTATCTTATGATTGATTGTATCTTAATTTTGACAAAGTCACAATTATGAATTTGTCATATTAGAAAATAAATTACTATTTAGGGGTTGTACCAGAACAGGTTTACATTGTTTTATTTTCAAAAAACACCATATTTTTGTCATACTACTGCGCAGTTTCTTTATTTACTTATTTATTTATTCCATTACAGTACAGAAAATTAAGACGTAATCAGATTACAGGTACATTTTGAAAAATCGGGGATTACTCATATGGATTACTTTAAGCAGAAAGTTTCCAGCAAACAGAAAATGCAGTGCTATTTGCCTTCATATATGTTTTTTATATACAGTCTATGTTATATGTACGTGTTTCTGTAAAAACACAAAGCTAGGGAGGGACGTGTCACAGATATTGATTGGCGTTTACAGTCGCCAGTAGCGCCAAATATGTGAATGAACACAGCAGCCGGACCAGGACCAAACACAGCCTTGGAGACCGACAGAGGCCACTTTGACCACTGGGAATACAGTCCCAAGGAGGTTTTCTTGTTGGGTTTGCCACTAGGCACGCCGGGACTGAGTCACGTTAAGCTGAACTGCTAGCAGCACGGCTAACCGACCGAACTAACCATCCACAGATACAGGTAGATAGGCTATAGTTAAGTTAGTGGTTCCTAATCAGGCACCTTACCCCGCCATCATTCCCTGCAGGCCTGAGAGCAGCTGGGTGACATCAGAGAGAAAAACAAGAATATAATTTCTCCATATTTCGCCATCAAAAATGATCCAGTTTTACCAAAATCAGTGAAAAAAGTTGTGTTTCTGTACAGTTATCAGTGGGACCTGGTCCCAGAGACACTATGTTTCAGCAGCATTATATTGAGAAATCTTTTCATTGGATGCTAAATTAATACAACAAGTGCAGAATGAGTCATCAAAATTTTAAAATGCTTTTCAAACTCTTAAATATCATCAAGAATACCTACAAAACACATTTTTTTGTCATTGGTGGACCAGACACTGCCATAGTGGTGACATAGTGCAAAGGATATAATAACATTTAAATACTGATTCTGTGAAGATTTGGTTATTCTGTTTCTATAAAAATACACCGAGCAGACATCGCATCGTTGATACTTGTCTTGTGTTCATTTGCCTATTTGGCATTGAAGTAATCCAAAAATAACTTAAAGTAACCAGATTACATTCTTTTATTTTGTGGTACTTAGATTACATAACTGCTTACATTTTTAAACAAGTAATTAGTAATTGTACCAGATTACATTTTTAAAGTAACCCTCCCAACCCTGGTGACGACTATAAAAACATAGGATTAATAAAAGTCGTAAATTGTTGTAAATGTGTTAGCCCTGCCAGTGGATCCACTCATTCTATTGACATTCATTGACAAAAAACAATAATAAATAAATTATAAATGCTGGTGTGAACACAGAGATACACAAGACAAATTATTTGAAGGATATTACTTTCAGGTTGTGTACTATTTTAGTGTCACAGACATGATTGTGGAGGTAATTTTGTATTTAATATTTTAAAAAAAGCGAATATATTGACTAGAATCTCAGCTGAGTCAATTAACAAAGAGTCTGCTTTGAATAACATATGTAGTTGATATGTATTTAACCTTTAGAGTGGAACACACACTCGTCCTTTCAATAGGTGTTTGGAGGTTGATGGGTATGTTTAACACTTTCAGCTGGGAAGTTATTTTAAGTAATCAAACTGCTGTTTTGGTGAAAATCTATAAAACTAATGTTTAGTCATGAAAAATAGAGATCACATCATTATAAATAAGTGGTGTAGATGTACACTGATGAGACTGTGCTCCTGTATGGTGAATATTTCTGGTCCAAATGCAAAACACGAACAAAGAATCTGAAAAGAAATTTCTCTCTGACTGCCAACTGGCCACTCAATCAGCTCTGCCTCCTACGCTATGCTAATGACAGAGAGGAAGGGAGGTGGTTAAAGCTGCCTTTTAACAGCACAGTACACTGCTTCACTTTCAACAGGAACTGACTGCAGATGAAGCCACTGATTCTAGTAACTGTTCCCAAATTTGGCAACAACCACAGTGTCTCATCCTGACTGTGAGCCTGACATCAGTGCTGTGTCCAGATCCCAGAACTGTATATATTCAATTTAAATGTGTTTATTTATTTATATAGCCCAATATCACAAATATGCCTCAAGGGGCCTTACAACCTGTACAGCAGCACACAACAGCCTTTGTCCGTAGACCCTCGATTCGGATAAGGAAAAACTCAGGAGGGTTCACTTTTCCAGACATGCAATAGATGCTGTGTGCACAGAATAGACAAACATAGTAAAATTATAGTACGGACAATAAGGATGACAAAATTATAGATAGATGTGGTGGTGGTGATGATGCAGTGGATACGATACATGACTTTGGGTTCAATTCCCCACCAATTCAGCAATGTGTCCCTGAGCAAGACACTTAGACACTGCAGAAGTGTGCGACCTCTGACATATATATAGCAATTGTAAGTCGCTTTGGATAAAAGCGTCAGCAAATGAATAACTGTAAATGTAGATGTAAACATATATGAAGAATATGAATCTGGGAGGACGTCGAGCAACTTCCTGGTGTCGTCAAACACACCTGAGCCTCTGTGTCTGGACCCCCACCACACAGTGGATAGTGACTAGATATACTCTGCTTAAGTAAGCTTTTTCACACAGTGCCAATGTTGATCTGAACATGAGCTTAGCTACAAAGGGTTGGCACCATTTACAAGGACTATCTAGTAGTAAGATAAGATACTTTGTGAATATACACTGAACAAAATTATAAAACGCAACACTTTTGTTTTTGTCCCCATTTATCACGAGCTGGCCTTTTATTATGGCCAGCCTTGGGCACATCTGTGCAATACCCATGCTGTCTGATCAGCATCCTGTGAGGTGGATGGATTATCTCGGCAAAGGAGAAGTGCTCACAAACACAGATTTGGACAGATTTGTGAACAATATTTGAGAGAAATCGACCTTTTGTGTACATAGAGAAAGTCTTAGATCTTTGAGTTCAGCTCATGATGAATGGGGGCAAAAACAAAAGTGTTGCATTTATAATTTTGTTCAGTGTATATCGAACCATTATCCAGACAGAACCAATAGTCTGCAGGTTTCATTCGAAGCATCTCAACAGGTGATTTCCCTGCTGGGTTTCTCTTCTCTACCTGGAGCACTCATTAGTGGGTGGAGTGCTTTATTGGAATATAAACCTGAAGGCTGTTGGCTCTCCACAGCACATAGTTGGACATACCTGTTATCAATGCCTTAGGTTGTAGTTAGTTCTATATGTTAGTGTTGCATAATTGGAAAACGCAAAATAGTATTTGTGGTAAAAAGTAAACAGGAGGAATTTAAAGTTTTAATTAGTTTTATAGTTTTTGCAGTCAGCTTACATAGAGATTCTCCTCATTTGTTCATATGTTATTGTGAATTTAATGGACTCAAAGTCAAATGTTAATGTTGCTGTTTCAATGAGTGCCTAAACTCTTAATACCAGTAGTGGAATGTAACTAAGTACATTTACTCAAACGCTGTTAGCAAGTTCAAATTTTAGGTACTTGTCCTTTACTTGAGTATTTTCTTCTTATGCTACTTCTACTCCACTACAGCTGAGCGGGAAATGTACTTCACAAAACATATGAACATGTAAAAGTAAAGCTGAAACAAGTCAGTTAACCGACTGACAGGAAATTAATTGGGAACAATTAATAATTGACAATTGATAATTGTTTTGTTATTTTTAATGGAAAAACATTTCATGACTTGAGCTTCTCAAATGCTCAGTCAGTCACAGTGGCCATTTTTCTGCATTGAGTAATTGTACTTTTAATACTTCAGTACATTTTCCAAATTATACTTACATACTTTTACTTAAGTAATAATAATAACAAATTTATTTATAGCACACTTTCAATCAAAGTGCTTTACAAAAAAGTG